AATCGTTAATTGAGTTTTCTTCTTAAAATTTAATTAATGAAAAGAAATCTTGATTAATGATTAAATATCAATTCTTTATTAAAGAACACTCCAATTATCGATTAAAATTTAATCATTAATTGGTATTGCAGCAATTAAAAAGTCTGGAACCGATGGAATAATTGTCTGATTATGTAAAATGATTAATGATTGTGATTTGAAGCTACGCCCAATGATAATCCACTGTTACTGATTATTCTCTTTAAACACAGCGACTTGAGGTTCCATCACATACACAGTAAGAACGCGAAGATAGTAAACAACGGATTGACCGCGTTGAGGCCTAGAGCTTTATGGGAATTCAACGAAGCCATCGTGATCGCTAATCGTCCGCTTCGAGACGGCGAGATGTTCGAGGTCACTATTGATAAAATGGTCGACAGATGGACAGGTGCAATCGAAGCAGGTACATATTCAGAAATACAGAATGTCTCAGCTGCAGAACTCTATCTTACTATTATATAAAAAAAAAGCGTTTGTTTATATGTCAGCAAAAATCTAAAAATCGGCTGAAGTATTTGCATCGAAATTTGAACGAAGTTTTCAGTCTGGCATTTATTTTCAAATAAGCAGCAAAATCATTAACTTTCAAAGTGCATTTATACGAATTACGCTCACTATATCTCTATATCGGATCGCGTTCTGTACAACTGGGTATTCTATTGTGTTCCGTATTAAGAAGATATTTTTTTAAGGGGTAACTCTTATAAGACCGGACGAGTTGGAGTTCCCGTCGACGATGACGGACATCGATCACGACACCTGGATGTTATCTGGCTCGAACGTTATGCGAGACGGTGACACGTTAAGGAGCAATTATGCTTGCGATTTAGACAAACTCGTGGAGGGTAATTGTATCGGGATGAAACGATGCTCGGACGGCACCTTGCATTATTATTTAGATGGAGTGGATCAGGGGCCCGCTTGCTCCGGTGTACCGCCGCATATCTACCCTGTGATTGAACTGTATGGGCAGTGCGTGCAGGTTTGCTTAACATTACTATTTGAATATTATATATTATATTAGTTGAATAAATCTGAACTATAGCGGAAGAGTATTAATGTATATAGGAAAACGTTTTTTTATTTGAAGTTTACTTTTCGAGAAAATCTCGTTTGAAAAAGCGTAGATATGCTGTTACGTCTAAGTTACAGTTCATAACAGGCATCGTGTTTGTAAATAATTTCTACACTGCATTTAAAAGTTATTGAGTTTACGAAAAAATACGCAGAAGACTTTTAAGGAACAATATTTCATGTTATCAATTACAAAATTGCTGAAACCGATTGTCTCCTTATCATACATAGCTGTGCTCGTCTAATTATAGATATATGAACTCTAACTGCTTAGATACTTAGGCAAATAGCATATCAGAAGTCTAAGAGCATTTCAACAATTGTTGGATGAATAAAGTAAATTTTAATCACGACATAGTCAATATTGGGAAGCCCTGTATTGATTTAATTTCTGATGCAATTGCATACATAAGTTCATTTGTCATTGAACAATATTTGTCAATACAATAACAATAAAGTTAATTCGTCATTGAACAATAGTTAGGCTTGAAAACACGAGCTTTTTCAACAATGTGTTAAGTCTAATTAATTGAAGTATGACTGATTGTGAGATTTAGAAATAAAACGAGTATTGCTAGTATTAATAGCTTTATTTTTTATCAGGTTACAATCGTGCAACCGGAACGCAGAGACCCTGTGCAACAGTATTTACCGTCGGAGAACAGTACTAGTCAACAACCTACGTCTGTGATTCAGTTGCAAGCCCAAGCGGAAGTAATGCACAAATTTCACGAGTCCGTTGGTTTGAACGTTCAGTTGAACGGCGACAGAACTGTAGCTAGCAGGTGTACAGAATATAGTAACGCTGTGTTACTCAGCGAAACGCCGTTAGAAAATAACGAGCTCTTCGAAATCGGTATCAAGGAGATTGCCCGGGAGTGGAGCGGTTGCTTAAGAATAGGCGTTGTTAAAAATGAGACTGGCAATTGGCTAACGTCTATGAACCTTGTATCCAGCATGGGGTCTTCGGTGCTTTCCACAGACGCGTGGTACTTAATAGGTAAGATTTTAATGTAATAAGCGATGGGAGAAAGATTTTTTGTATTTTCTAACAAAATTCTAACTATATTTTATTTAAGTCCCATTGCATGACTGATCATGTGTAAATCTCGTTATATTTTTCATAATGTTTACTTGGAAAATTGCTGACCTTAAAGGGATGGTCTTGGAATTCGATTTTCGATATTTTGGGATTTTAATTTCTCTGATTCTAGTGAATAGAAATTAAAATTTCAAACAAGTTACTGAATTATGAGAATTTTTTCAAATTTCTGTATCCACAAATTCATAAAGTTTGTAAATTTTTAGATATTGCCAAATTCGAAGGGTATTCCTTGGATGATTGCTAATAATTTGAGAATTTCGATGTTTTCCATTTATTATTTAATTAAATTCCATTGCATGACTAATCATCTGTAAATCTCGTTACACCTTTTCAAAGATTGCATCGACTTTTTGAATCATTCGAATAGAGCGAACTGCATCTTCGAAATTTACTAACTAAAAACGTTTGGACCAGCTTCTTGCTATTTTTACTGATAATCGATTAGTTGCGGCATCACAAATTTTATCAATATTCTTCCGTTCTTTATAATAG